CCGAGGTTCCCCCACTATGCGGTACGAACACGCAGAATGTGTAACATAAACCAACGGCAGTCGCTGGAGTTGTGGTGGGAGGACTCCTCGCGTCCTCCTCCCGCCGAGCCGCAACTCGAGCGTGACCATCTCAGTCGCATAGTGGGGGAACCTCGGGAGGGGAAATGGGCTCGTGAGCAAGAAGTTAAGCGGCTCTGGGATAGGGCGATAGGGGAAAGTGAGAAAATAAGGACAAGATCGGTTAAACCTTTCGCTACTGCAGATTTTAACGCGTAACGTGGATGACCGACGGTAGGTTCTTAACCACGCCTGCGATATTTCTTATTTCCACGGTATCGGTCTGAATTTAAGGTGGTGCAAAATTTCGAAACGTCTATAGACGGCAATAGTAACGAAAGAGTTAAAGGGTTCAACGGGTGAAATTTCGCGATAATTTTTCAGGACCGTGGAGTTTGTTGAGACGTACCGTGGCATTCGGTGCGAGAAGATTGAGAAACTTGGACACAACTTTCCATTTGTAGACGGTGAACCAAGTGGAGCCTTGGTAAGTGTCACCGGCGTTCAGGAAGATGCATGGAATCGAGGACTTCCGGGCCTCCCTCACCAGAGTCGCTATCCTCGCGAATCCTCCGTAGCAGTTCCCAGCTTCGATGTCCCTCTTCACGCAGACAGTCGACCATTTCGACGTCTGCTCGAATCTAAGCACGTTAATTCCTGTATTTTACCTGACAATTCACCTAATCTTTCTTCTACTTTCTATCGTTGCCGAATTCCAATTAATTCGATCATCTCCGTAAGTTAGCGTCGAAATTTCTAATTTAGATCGATATTTCCAACGAACCATGAAATAAAAAAAAAAACCAAAGCGCCTTCTAATTCCACAATTTTTTCTTTTTTTCTCGGTAAGACCATTATGTCGTTGCTGTAGAATTTCTTTGGATTTTCGTTGCAATATTTTTCTTCAAAGTTTTCTTCAAAGTTTCGCTTAGATCGTTCGTTTCCTTCAAGTCGAAGAGAGAACGAGGAAAAACGAAGACAAGAGTGTTGAGATGTAAAATTGAAAATGATCCATAGCTAATCGAAGTGTACGAGGAAAAACCGAGGGAATAACGCAATCGTGCACAATTCTCGACCATACCTGTGCAGTATCGGCGTGAAACGGACATTTAAACGGTGGAAGGGAGAGTTAATTATCGTTAGCCTGGTCGCAATTAGCGCGTAGTCGCGCGATGCTCGTCGATATTTCAAACTGTTTCAAATATCGCAGCTGAAACAACTTGTTTCGATGATAAATTCCTTTCCTTCACCTCGTTCAGTATACACCTGTTCTCCTCCGTGTAAAATCAACCTTTCAATTACAACGAAATTACGACAACGACGACTCATTCAGGTAAAGAAACATCGGACAAAAAGTGAGAATAAAGATAACGAGCGAAGGGAACAATAGGGGAATCGGTATAAGGATCTACGAATTTCTGCAACATACGCTACTTTCAATCGCGCGACTATCGTTCTTTCAGATCCACGCACAAATTTTGCATAATTGCGAAAAGAGACACGTGTCGCCTTTTCCCCCTTCTTCTCCCCTTTTCTACGCGCTGCTCGACGACTTTTACGCGGAGATCGAGTAAAATTCAAATTGACTTTTTCACTTTTTTCAAAATTGCAAATTCACTTTTCAGCCCCTTAACCTATGATTTCTCTTCTAACTGTGGATGCAAGCGTCGGCCGTTTAATGTTTTAGTACTGTATCGGGTAACAGAAGCTAGTCTGTAAAAGATTAATTACATGTAGTAACCCTCAGTCTTGCAAATTAAAACGAAAATTAGGATTACGATGAATTTTTCTTATCGATACAACTATTTTTCTTACATCTCGACCAGAATCTCTGTCACGAGTCTGACGCGTTGTTGCAGGTTCAAAGGGGTAAGAACCATATCTGTAGTGTCGAAAATTCTCGGCTCTACCTGAGCTACCTTTCGGGAGAGCCCGAAAGTGTGGGCGATGCACGAATGTGAGGGCTGTGTGTAGTGGGAAAACAGCGAAGGCGTGGAAGGAAAGGATTTAGGATAAATAGGGGGGAGAGCAGCGAATGAAAATGGTTGTCGGTTTTTGAAAGTTATCGTCATCGTAAAGAGTTCTTGTTCAATTTCTACTGTATTGTATCAAGTCACTTACTGCAATAATAATCACTTGTGCAAATATACTCAACAATTACTAACAAGCGAAAGAAGAAAACAAACCTTCAGAGATACCACATATCCTTCCTCTATTTTTCTTCTCCTCCGCAGAAATTCCCAGTTTCTCTTCCTTTCCCCTCACTTCTCAACGCCCCCCTCTAAATTCTCAATTGCATTTGTTTCCTTCTTTTTTTCGACGACAAACGAACGAAAAGGAGAAAAGAAATGGTTACCTCGAGTGCATGTCGTTGGTGTGGACGATTTTCAGGGTGAGTCCGTCAGGTTGCATGACCACAGGGGTTCCAATGGCCACGCCGGAGAACGCCAAAATGGCGGTGGACAGCACGACGAACGAAACAGCGAGGAGCATTTTTCTTCCTTCCTTTTACACGCGGCGGCGGTTTCTGTTCACACTTCGATACTTCACTTTCGTCCAATTTCACGCTGCTCCGTTATCCGGTCGTTTCAGAGATAACGTGACACACAGGACCTCGAGATATCGCCTGGCTATCGAACAAAAGAAAAAGAGAAAAAGTGAAGACAAACGTTTCGTCGTCGAATTGCGATTTTCTCCAACTCTATCTTTCGTTTATTTCTCTCTCTCTCTTTTCCCAGTGATAAAGAAACTTTATCCAGTTTGAAGAATATTTGCTCGTTTTCTGCATCCGTTGGATCGTTCGCTTTTTCCCTGTATCGTTAAATATCCACGCTATCTATTAGTCGAAATCGCATCTTTCTTGCTTATTTTGTAAATGCCCGATAACCAATGACTAAGAAATCTGAAATCTATACCTCTACTGTGAAACGAGAAGGCAAATGATCAACCATACTACGACCTTGTCTAACTAATCGCCTTCTTTTTACTTATCCTTGACCGTTTCCCAGCTTTATCGCAGCTATTTGCTATTTTTTCACTAAACAAACGTTCCAACTCTATCTCCTCCCCTCGTTCTCCTCGACAATTAACCTCGTCTAGCTTCAACGATACTCCATCGTTTTCCACATCGACGAATTCTCGTAATTCTCCAATCCAACTATTTTTCCTACTCCTGACCGGAACTTCTTCGCTTTCTTTCAATAAACGAGCTAATTCTCCTCGAGTTCGAAGGTATTCGCAAGGTGAAGTTTCGCACGACCGCTAAACTTCGTGGCAGAGATACAGAAAGAGTGCCCATCGAGGATCCAGCTGCAGATCAAAGGTACGAACCGTCATAAAGCTCGCTTTACGATCCTCCGAAGATGAAAGTGAACGTGTGGCAATGATCGAACACTGCGTGCGCGTCATCCTTGCGAAACACTCGTGTTTCCAACGAGCTTTAACAGCGCGCGTCTCGATCGTCGACAAACTCGTTTTCGTCCGACTATTCACGTGGTAAACGTGCCTAGAATCGATCCGACGGCGATAATTAATTTGCAGTCGAAGCGTGAAATTCCTCCTTTTTCTTCCCTTCGTTTTCTCGATTAGTCAGCGGAAGGATTTTTCGAGTGTCCGATTCGTGCGTGACGGTCGTTGAATTCCTCGTTAAGCGTGAATCGACAGAAACGATCTGAACTTTTCAGAAGAAACAAAAGAAAAAAATACGTCAACGACCAAAGTCTCCTTCTTTTTTTACTCGTTTCGTAACTTAGTATTATCTGCGTTTAAGAAAGACAATAATTAACCAGCGAGCTTATCGCGAACTTCGTTCAAGAAATTAGCCTAATGCATAGTAGGTGTACGCGGTCGTTTCTTTCGTTTCACAATTCGTGTAGGAAAATCCTCTTATCTGCGCTGTTCAAATCGACAGTCCTCGATGGCAGTACAGTGGACTGTGAAATTTCTGTCGCTTCGTCGAACTGTCGAGGTCTGTTTCTTTCGAAACGCTTTATCTGGAACGAAAGACGAGGAGAAGAAAACGATTCGACCGGTTAAGAGGAGTCACGAGTATCGAAATAACGCGTTGATACTTTCCTCAATGTGTACAGTTCGTTGTCGAAACGACAATCGACGTAAAAAGAAGGAAAAGGCGACTTCTGTCTGCATCACGTGGATAACGACGGTCCTCCGTTCATAAGCAGCGCGGCGTTCGTTCAATTTGGAAGACAAATACGATAATTTGCTGTAATTAGAGAACGTGACAAAACTCGAGAAATATCTCCGAGACGATATGTGGAATTTACTTATTCGAACCCTCTGCGATCGCCGCGTGACGCTCAAGTCACACGTTCGAGTATCTAAAAATTCTTCCACTGGAACGAGAAAATCGTAGGAAATCGATTCGAGTGTGTACGACGCTTTTCAAATCTTAGCCAGAGGTTTACTCGAATTTACGACAGTTTGCGAGTAGCACGATTGGAAATGATGATTGGCGTCGCTTTCGAGGTCGCTATGTTTATAGGGTTTAGAAGAGGACGTGGAAGGGACTAGAAATAAACCGGAAAATATTTGGCGAAACGAGTGTTCGCGGACACCGAAGATTACGGTAATTGTCGGTATCAAACGCGATCAAAGATCTCTTTTATCCCAAACGAGGTTCCTATCATCAAAGCTTGAAAAAAATCACTCAACACGTTGAAAACGGTAATATTTGCAAAATTTCCATCTAACGCGTCACACAGCATATTTAACCCCTTAACCTATGATTTCTTCTCCGACAGTGCACCTAAGCGTCGGCCATTTTCCATTTTAGTACCGTATCGGGTGACAAAAGTTAATCTGTCACAGATTTACTAATCCTCAGTCTTGCAAATTAAAACGAAAGTTAGGATTACGATTCATCTTTCTCACATCTTCACCAGAATCTCTGCCACGAGTTTCACACGTTACAGGTCGAACGATTAAGTAGTCCTATTTCTTATAATCTGCACATAATCAATTTCCCCGTCGTTCCTCGTTATTTCCAAACAGTCGCATTCAGTGGAAACGCAATTTTTCCAAGTTTTCGACATCAAACGAGGGAATCGCGATCGCGCCGCTTGCCAGTTTCCGCTCAGATTTCTGCAATAGCCCCGTGCCACTCGAACGGTTAAACAAAAGCTTCATTTCGACGCCGTGGACGAGAGTACGTAGAACTGATCCAGCATTCGACGCGTCGAAAAACGAGAACAACTCCTTCGAGTCGACGAACGAACGTTAAAACGAGTCGAAAGTTTCGCGATCGACGAGTCACCACGTGTTCCTCTCCTCGATCATCGTTTCTCCCGGACACAGAGTGTAACCGTAACCGCAGCACACAGAGTGGAAGCGTGGTGAAAAGGAAAGTGATCAAACGAAAGAGAGACCTGTCTTAAGCGCGTTAGCCAAGCATCCGAAGCGCGCGCAAAACTCGCGCCAAGCGTGTCCGGAAGATGCACCGATCTGTAGCTCTAAAAATATCACCGCGCCGAGGAATTCTGAAGAGACGATCACTCACTGTCGGTGAATCCTCCGCGGTTAACGTTTCAATTACACAACGATCTGTCGAGATCGAGCGATTAACCGTGATACGCGTCGATTAACGCCGCGGCGAGCCGATTTTGCCGAGCGACCAGCGGCGACTGAACCGAGGATCGTCCAACGAAAAGCTCCGCACGCCGCTCTGTTTGTCCCCCAATCTGTCCACCGCGAGTCAGTCGCTCCTACGATTCGTGGACTTCTCGAGCGAGCTTCCTCTAGCCGCTACCGGTCACTTCTGACGCGTTTTCACCGTAGGTCGTTCCTCGGGATCTGCCGTGATCTACGGCTGGTAGATCGGCGCGTTAAGGTGTGCGTCGATCGTTCGATTATTCTCACGGTGGACGAGTGTGAGTGACGTTGATTGGACGAACGGGTTCGAGTGTGAAGGTTAGAAAAACGACGATCGTCGAGTGACTGCGAGAGAATGGAATTACAGCGGGTGATCTGAAATTATTAGAGCTACCTGAGAGAAATTGACGGTTTTACCTGTTGCAAACATTATTTTCCATGAATTTTAGACGAAATTTTAGTTTGGTTATACAGTGGATACCGGTTAAGCGGGACCGTCGTTTATTTGGGACAGACACCGAACAATATATGTGCTCATTTACTTATTTTTGATCACTTATTGTTAGCTTTGTTTGCATGCTGAAACACACATTTGTACTCAAGACCGAATATTACATACGTTTTTCAATAAATCGTTTTCGGCTTCATTTTTTACGTCGTTCAGATTTTGCCTGTTGAAATTCGCTTTTTTGGGACAAATTAGTCCTGCCCCAATTAACCGGAATCCCCTGTATATTGAATTCTTGTTATTTTTTTATTATGAAGCATCGTGACGTTTACGAATTGCAAACATACGCTTGGCAACAATTTAGGCAAATTTGATGTGTCGCGTGGACGTTAGTTTGTACGAGTATTGCCCCAGTCGCTACTCGACGACCGCGTGTTACAGCTTTGTTGCTCTGTAAATCTTGATTGTTTGAATTTTGTAACGTACAGTAAGTTACTTGAAGTGTATCGAAAGTATGTCGAGAGGAACGAAGGCGGTAATTGCGGCAAAAGGTTGCGAAATAACGACTTCATCGTTACTTCTGAAGTGTATCTTTTATAACTACTCAAGCTAAGTTCCGCTTTCTTGCGTCTACTTAGTGGACAAACCTTGGTATTTCATTTCTACAGTGTCTCTAACAATTTGAATCGATTTCCATTTTCAGTAGAATCGAAGATTTCTTTGAAAACATAATTTCCACGATTTTCTTGCCATGTCTCGCGATAGGAACCGATTACGCGAGCCCAGTCCAGGAAAAACCATTCATTTCCACATCTAACAAAAGCCACGATGCACACATCCAAACAAAACTAAGAAAACTATCCGACAAAATGGTCAAAAAACGTTCCAAAAGGACCGTTCGAAAATCTGACTCACGGAAAAGTCGGTCACTTGGCCCACTTTGCATAGTTACAAGCACATCCGCCTTCTTTCCGACAGAGCAGCCTGAATGAACCGTGTGAAACAGGAATTGCTTATTAAAACACGCGTGTGAAAGAAAAAAAGAAGAAGAAGAAACTGTAAGTGTAATTTAAAAATACACACGACCGAGGTTACTTTCGCAATCGCAGCCAGATTCGCCGGTTTATCATCGAACGTCTTTTCCTCGAAAGATTGATCTGATTTAGAGTGGAGCCGCTTGTTTCTGCCAGGTTACATTCAACTTATTACTTTTGGCAAGCCTCTGCCGGTCGCTTCAAAGTTCAATGGCAGAGTCTCGAGTAGGCGCGGGTGATTAGGCGAAACAGCGTTTTCGAATAACATAAAAATGTTACGTCGACGAGGGACGCCAACCTTGCTCGTTGAACGTGATCTATTGATCGCGATCGCGTGTAACTCCCGTTACTTTTCCACCGTTCCTCAGCGTTTATTACGCGTAATAAACTCGGCGTACACTACGGCGTGAAAAAACAGAAATAGAACAGTTTGGTATCTTTTCTTTCTTTCGACCAACACGACGTGTCGTTAAAGAGTCGAACGTCACGTTTGACGGGAAAAACGCGACAAAATGGACATAGTTTTATTAATATAACCGTCACTTTCTACGTCGAGAGTTTCACGACTAATCTACGATCTCTTTCTACCTAAAAATAACGCGCTTTTTTCCCTTTCGCAATCTCGTTATCTGTGATCCAATTTCACCACTGCCGTCGCTCAATAGCGTTCTAAGCTTCTGTATACAGCAAGAAGCCTCCCTTATCTCGACACTGTCTTCCAATTGTGAAAGAACGAGCGTTTTTATCCGTCGATATCGCCGCACTCTTGCCCGAAAATCTTTAATTAAACTCGAAGATTAGAGAAGTTCGTGAGATAAGAAAGGTAGCTCCGATAAAGAAAATCATTTCTTGTTGTTTGTTTTGTGCAATGGAAGCATCGATCGGCCGATAAAGAAGAACGATTTTGATTGTAGGTAACGTCACTTTGATATCAGACAACAGAGTGAATAACAGCTTATCGTGAATTATAGGCCAGCAGGTAGCTGAAGTCGAAGGTTCCTTTATCTTGGACCGCCGCGAGAATCACAGTTCAGACTTTATTACGACTTTTGCCCGCCACTCTAATATAGAATAATTTTGTCAGCGAGCCAGGACGCTCAGCGTGGCTTGTTAGTCACATCCTTTTCGATCCTCCACGGAGAACCGTGTTATTTAGCGAACTTTCGCGATCGTCGACGTCTATCTGCGTAATTTTCTCAATCGAACGTCTCAGAAATTCGCTACTTTTCTCTCTCGACATTTTACAGGAGAAAATACGACAGAGTTTCTTTCTTTCTTCTCTCTGTATTGATATTATCTCTAAAATATGACAAAGATTAGAAAAAAAGAATTACAAGTTTCTTTCATTCGTTATCTCGATCGCTTCGACGGTTTCAATGTGGAGCACGTAAAAAGCTGGTTCCTTGGAAATGTCTAAAACAAGGCACGAGGTGTATATGTAATAAATGGATGGGCAAATAGCGTGGTTGACGCGTGTGACTGCCTTTTTGACGGATAGATTGATAGGAGGAATTTACCGAGCACGAGCTTGAGAATGATTTGTATTTCATCGAGGCGAACGGTAGCGAGTAAAATTACGTTACTGCAACAATAGGGGAACGATAGTAAAGGTACGGAGTCAGGTGCTCGTAAAACACTCCTGGAAATTATTGCATTCTTATCGGTAATAAAACCAGTGATCGTAAACAGCCTTCTTTTTCATACGTCTTTGTACTTTTGCAAAAGCGAAACGTGAACTTTGTATCGGTGACACGTGTTCCACGCGTGTTTCCAAATGAATCATTAATATTATTCACCGTTTCGAGATCCTCCTTTTTTTCGTTCCGCAGGATTTCGACGAATTGCGATCTTCCGGATTTTCTTCATAAATTACCGCGAATCAACAGAAGAGAGAATTGATTCAACAACACCGTTCCCATCGAGCGATCTTCCACAGAATTTTCAGGCCAGCCGAGTTTATTATTCGGTTAATCGAACGCGCGGGTATCCAACGGAATGTTCCCGTGTATCGAGAGATTTTCCAGCGATATATAGATGCGATTTGTCGAGAACTGGTTCGTCACGCAAATCGCGGCGATTTTACATACGCTCGCGTTATTTTTCTTTTTTCTTTTTTTCTACATTCTGTCTGTGTAAAAATCGCGCGAAGGTGGATAAAGTTAGCTTACGTTCGATCAACCCATATCAACCGTTCGACAACCAGTTTGCATTTCAAACTAGTTTTTCTTAGTAATTGCACACTTTACATTTCCGATCTTGCTCTTGCGAATTAATTATTCGATATGGGATCGTGGGCGAACGTTTCCTGCCAGTTTGTAAACGATTTTACGACGTCTGATGTAAGCAGAGTGCTGCAAATATTCAACGGTTTCAATGAAAATATCTGTTCTACTGTTATTTTTCTGTATTTTTTCAGGAAACTTGCAGGAATCGACAGATTTCTGGGCAGATTTTTAAGTGAAAGGAATTTTCCTTTATTTTTGTAAGAATGTTACACGAATCGGCAGATTGTTAGACATTTCTTTTTAATTGAAAGAAACTTTTCCTATTTTCCTATATTTTTCCTTGGAATATACACGAATCGACAGATTGTCAGACATTTCCTTTTAACTGAAAAATGTTTGCCTTATTTTCCTATACTTTTCCATGAAATTTACACGAATCGACAGATTATTAGACATTTTTTTAAACTGAAAGAAATTTTTCCTATTTTCCTATACTTTTCCATGAAACATACACGAAACGACAAATTATGAAACATTTCTTTTTAACTGCAAGAAATTTGCCTTATTTTCCTATACTTTTCCATGAAATTTACTCGAATCGACAGATTGTTAGACATTTTTTTAAACTGAAAAAAGTTTGCCTTATTTTCCTATACTTTTCCATGAAACATACACGAAACGACAAATTATGAAACATTTCTTTTTAACTGCAAGAAATTTGCCTTATTTTCCTATACTTTTCCATGAAATTTACTCGAATCGACAGATTGTTAGACATTTTTTTAAACTGAAAAAAGTTTGCCTTATTTTCCTATATTTTTCCAAGAAATTTACACGAAACGACAAATTATGAAACATTTCTTTTTAACTGAAAGAAATTTGCTTTATTTTCCATGAAATATACACGAATCGACAGACCGTCAGACACTTCGTTTAACTAAAAGAACTGCGTTTCTTCCCTCAAAAAAGGAAGAAGGTACAAAGAAAAGTGTACGGAGTATCTCGAGAAAGATCGACATTCCAATAAAACACAGATGGAAAATTTACAAGAGACGAGGATTAAAAGACTCACCCTTCCGATTAGATAACTCGCACACACCACTTGTCACTCGTGTTCACTTTCCAATTCTCCGAGACACTGTCCGCTTGAAGGACACGCACCAACTGAGCCAGGTAAAAAGGATTCCCAAGGTAAGAACCCGAGGATTGTCACAGGTCCCCTTTGTCCGAAATTCTCTCCCCCTCGGACGCGCTTATCCGCCAAAGTCACTCCCCCGTTCTGCCCTGAATTAGTTAATTGCCGGACCTTTCCTCAAATCGATCGTCCAGACTAACAAATAATCGCCCGTCGATTTTCAATTTTACAGACGGCGCTAATCACTCTGTGTACTTTTAGAAAATATCCAGAAAAAGTTCCCCGATAATAAGACTTTTTAACCACTTGTATTTACTTTAACTCCCAGCTACCACGAATTCCACGCAATTCCCTCGATAAGAAGTCGTGCAAAGACACAGGTATCCGTTTAAGTAAAAAGCGATTCGATGCACACATCGATCGGTTATGGGTTTCTTCAGAGAACGCAACACTTGAATTCCTCGCTACAGCTACTATCTACTTACGAAACTCTTCTCGTGGGATCACCAGGCACGCGTTCTCCGACGAAATATTTCTGATAAGACTAAACACCGCGGAGCATCGAGAGGTAAACAACAAGTGTCTCCAGTCTCTCCACGTGATTTCAATCGATGCAACTGGCGTTCAATTAACAGTTCTCGTCTCCTACATCCAATTCGACGCATAAACGAAGAAAACGGAGAAACGTTAAAATCACGATACAAACTAAAAGCAAATGAGTTAAACTCGCGATACAAACCGCGTAAACATTCAACCACGAAGAACTTGTAATAACCGTGCTTCAGAATTCGGTCGAGATCGAAGAGATCACCGATTCGCGCCGAATTTGGAAATACGTAGACGATTTTAATCTACCGATTGTATAACGAGCCTCGTTTTAACTTCCATGCAGGTCTTCTATCGCGGGAGGAGCGAAAACCTGTGTCTGCTTCTAGACGAGCAGTTCTCGGCGAGCGTTCGCGGTTGACAGGTGCGTTACGATTTAGCGATCAATCATGCCGCCTGGCGATCGATTATCGCCCAATTCATCGATTACACGTGTAACTTTAGTCCAACTATTCGTGAAATTGCTTCGCACGCGCGGACGGTGCCGATTATTCCGTCCTCTCTTCCGTAACTCTGTTCTCATTGTTCCATTTTTTCTCTATATTTTTTCCTTACAAATTAATTCGTGAATTTTTTCTCACGTTCAATCGCGAGTGAACACGTTCGAAGATTCACGCGTCTCTCGTGTTCTCCTCCTTTCGTTAAAGTGGCAACGCTTGTTTACTCGAAGCTGGAATAAATCTTGTCCCGTGAGAAATTCGGCGCGAGGAACAAATACGCTGTTTTTCTTCGCGCAAATACAAGTGTTCTGTAGGAGAATTGTCATCAATCACCTCTGTTTCTCTTTCTTTCTTCGATGGAATTAATTAAGGCTGAATTGAAACGATAAATTCGCCTCGTGGAAGTATAAAGAGGCGAGATAAGCTTATTATCGAGGCCGTTTCTTTCTAATTAACCGCGAAGAACAAATTCATTCACCAGGATCGCCTCGTTTCCTGTTAATATCCTTCGTCGTTCCAGATAACGCACGAATAACACAGACGTGTTTTTCTTCTTCTCGTCTTGTTGCATTCGTAGAGAGAGAGAAAAAAATATGCATTCGAGGCTGTATCGCGTTCAGTGCTGCGCCGTTCGCGCGAATCCCCTGGCAAAATTCAATTATCAATCTCGCCTCGTCACCTATCTTTCTATTTGTCGATGAATAAATTTGGAAGTAGCGCGTTCACGAAAGTTCCTCCGAGTGGAAAATTAAATTGGAACAGCTGAAAAAGTGTATTTTCGAGGAGTAGTTAAACGAAATTTCACGTATCTGAACGAAACAGATCTTCGAAGTTCTCTGCGCTCTCTTCCACTTCCGAATTCCTCGTCCTCCCCAGAAAAAGAATTACTCCAACTTCTGCGTGATATGTAAATCTGTTTGCAATAAATTACACAGGGAACTCTTTAACTCAGCAAGCTCCTGCTAACATTTTCCTCAACCTCTGGTGCATTATTTGCATTTCAATGCTCCAACTATTTTTTACCTCTCGTCAGAAGCGTATCATACGTATAAAATCTGATACGAGCAGGCAAATCACACCTGGATCGAGTATCGTCGTTGCAATAAGAATACGTTGTTACGTTTTCCCCGGACAGAAACTGAAGGAAACTTGGCTGCAGAGCTCTCGATGCACTAATTCGATCCGCGATGTCGCTACGATTCTTCCTGCTGCCGCTGCTCTTCCAAATATCCCGGGGATTCACCGGAAGAGGACTTTATTACCCGGGACGATCCGATTTATTCGAGCTCTCTGTGATACACCTAAACGATTTCCACGCAAGGTGAGCTACTTATCATGCCTGTACACTATAACTTCTCTCGATCGATATTCAGTGGAAACGACGACACTATTCGAGGATCGGGAAAGTGGGTCATTGAAAATGTTTCTGTTAATTGCCGCTAATTACGTCACTGTATTAAACACACTGGTTGTGATAATTTGTCGGGATTAGCATAGCGGACTTGAGATTTAACCCTTTCGCTACGGCAGATTTTAACGCGTCACGTACACTACCGGCCAAATGTTTGGAATCACTGTGCATTGCAGGTTGCACACAAAATTCTTAAAAAAAAAAGTTAGCATTTATAATAACTTTTTAACGAATTTGTTATCGTACAAATCAATCGAAACGAGGTAAAGTCCTATTGATCTCGACAACATCAATTTCAAATAAATAAAGAATTAGTAGCGGATTCGATATTGATGCAAATTGGCAGGTGATTCCAAACGTTTGGCCGGTAATGTAGGTGACTGACGGTAAATTTTTACACTGCTGCAAAATTTCTTGTTTCGACGGTATCGTTTTATTTAAAATTCGGCTTGTTAAATTAAGGTGGAAGTGCGTAAAGGATAAAATTAAGTATTAAATTAAGGTGCAAGTGCACTAAAAGGCCCCAACGGTATAGTGCGAGCAATTTTTCAAAACGCCTGTAGGCGCCAATAGTAATGAAAGGGTTAAATATGAAAGTCTGTCGATAAGGAAGAGTGCGGAGATTTGAATTCGAAATTTCAGGGTGAAGAATGAAGGTGGATTTGAAGGTTTTGTTTTTTAAAATAAGAATTTAGATTTTATTCCACGTCGTTTCTTTAATTATAAAAATCTCGAAACCAAGAAAAAAATTAAATATGAAAATCTGTGGATAAGAGAAACTCACAGATTTAAATACCAAATTCCACGATAAAGAATAAAACTGGAAAAATGTAAAAGAATTCTATTCTGCATCGTTTTCTTTTTATAAAAATCTCGAAACCAAGAAAAAAATTAAATATGAAAATCTGTGGATAAGAGAAACTCACAGATTTAAATACCAAATTCCACGATAAAGAATAAAACTGGAAAAATGTAAAAGAATTCTATTCCACGTTGTTCTTTTTCAATAAAAATCTTAAAATACCAAACTTCTATGTACAGAGAGAGAAAAATAAAGGAAAAGGTTGTCCTTGATAAACACACGTACACACACTGTAGCAATTAATTACATAAAATCCCACTCGTTCGAAGAATTGCCGAAAGAATATTTTTCTTTCGCCAAGCAGTTACGTAAGTTGAGCAACAAAAGACGTAACACTAGAACGTGGTATTACGAGATAGGTTTCCAACGGTTCAATTAGCAAACAGTGGCTTCCAACGATCGACAGGCAGGGTGTCACGCGATTAATCGAAACGCCGAGTACAACCGATACAAGTAACAATCTTCCTCTTTGCTATTTGCATAAACAATCTCAGATTCTCCCCGGTAATTTGCATCGATCCAATGTGTGATACGCGAACGAATCAGTCTGATCTGATCGTGAACAATACACTTGTGCACGGCGAAACGCGATTGAAAAGAGGCACACACGAACGATTAGAAAAGAGAACAACAGTTTCGATTACCTAATGAAGTTGGAACAATCGAACACGAGGAGAAGAAGAAGAAAGGGAAGCGTTGAAAGCGAAGCGTGGACTGTTCGATCCTCTCGCGAGGCTCGCCAAGTGAAATCACAGGGTCAGGGACGCGATGATTCGGGTTAATCGTGATTCTTTTTCTTAGCGTGCTCTTCAATTTGCTGGACGAAGGAGTTTCTCAATACCGACGCGATTCACCGAACGTTTCCATACTCTTCGATTGTCATCTTCGTTGAAAGAGAATGGAACTCTTAGTAGGTCGTCAAATATATTTTTCTAACGTAACAGCGGTTTGATAGATAGGAAAGAATTTGTAGAAGTTTATCTAATTTGTTTTTTTCGAAGAGAAACATTTTTGGAACAGCGCTGAATTTTCTGCGCGAGCTGCAAAGCCACCCGCTCGAAAATATACCACATCAATTACATATTAAAATTTATTTTTGGGAACGTAAGCATGGTTTGATAAATAGGAAAAAATTTGTAGAGGTTTATCTAATTTTTGGAACAGTCGGAGCTACAAAGCCACCCATTCGAAAGTATTGTTGAACAAGCGGTATGCTCGAGAGTGGTGGCGCAGGATTGTCGGTGGTTCTTGGTGTGAAGTCGTGGTGACTTAGAGTTTGCACGTATTTTAATATGTTGTAAGACAAAGGCTTTATGTTGAAGAGTGACAATTTTATGTCTGTGGCGCAGGATTGTCGGTGGTTCTTGGTGTGAAGTCGTGGTGACTTAGAGTTTGCACGTACTCTAATATGTTGTAAGACAAAGGCTTTATGTTAAAGAGTGACAATTTTATGTGGTGTGTGTTCGTTACGTGCTACTTGTCTGTTTTCCCTTTTTGATCTGTCTTTCTGCCGCGTTGGTGCGCTTATTTGTAAATGGGTGCACGGGTACAAGGTGGTGGTTTCCGCCAACGAGGACGGTCTACCCTCTTGGACGGTCCTCCCTGGCCAGCGAGCATGCCGCCACCCTGGAATTTCCAAGTTGGCAGGGTGGTGGTGTGTCGCGATGGCGGGGGAGTGAGGCCCAAGGGTAGCCCGCTCGTGACGGGACTTTGGGTCTACCCTCTTGGACGGTCCTCCCTGGCCAGCGAGCATGCCGCCACCCTGGAATTTCCAAGTTGACAGGGTGGTGGTGTGTCGCGATGGCGGGGGAGTGAGGCCCAAGGGTAGCCCGCTCGTGACGGGACTTTGGAAAATTAATTAACGCGAAGAAGAAAAGGGGCGCATTCGAAAATAGCGTAAACAGGCGTCCATGTCGTAAACCCAATCCCTAACAAATATATTACGTTGATTACATATTAAAATTTATTCTTGTAACGTAAGAGTGGTTTGACAAGTATAAAAGAATTTGTAAGGGTTTATTTAATTTTTTTCTTTAGACAGTAAACATTTTCGGAACAGTACTGAATTTTCTGCGCGAGCTAGAAAATGGGGTAGCAACAGGTGGCGGGAGAAAGGAGGAATTTTCATTTTTCCCCGAGGAGAGACGTTTGTCCGCGTGAAAATGCATAATTAGACGGGTATATCCTGGAGGAAAATGACTTTCAGATTCGAGCAAACTGGACCCAGGTCCGGGGCGTGCTACAAAGGGGAGGAGAAGAGCTGTGTCGGCGGGATAGCGCGAGTCTTCACCGCGGTGAATCGATTAATCGAGGAGAGGACGAACCCAATTTTCCTGAACGCTGGGGACCATTTTCAAGGGACACTTTGGTACAATGTTCATCGCTGGAACGTGACCGCCACGTTCATGAACATGCTTCCCCACGACGTTATGGTAAGAAAGAAAGAAGAAAACGACGGGAGAAACGAGAGATGGGCGGGAAGAAAAAGAAGAGAAAGAACAGGCGAATTCTTTCGGTCGTGTAGCTTAATTGGGTCAGGGAATTAACGATCGATCGCTCTCGAGCGTGGTCTTGTTCTCGTTATTTAAACGAGATTCCCAGTTGAAACAGAATTTCACCGATTTCATTCTGTTAATTAAATCGATCAGCCGATATGTTACATCTCTCTCTCTCTGTGATTTTTCGGGATAATGATCGATTTTATCGGAAGCGATTTATATTTGTAGATAGAGTACAGTTACGTGATTTCTTTCTAGACGATAGGGAACCATGAATTCGACAATAACGTCCAAGGAGTCGTCCCCTTTTTGAAAATGATCAAGGCACCTGTTGTGGTGACGAATATCGACGCGAGTGAAGAGCCAACGATGCAGGTTTGTGTGTTAATTACTCGCGATATAATGAAAATTTCGATTAAGCACGAATGATCTTCAGGGTCTCTTCAAAAACAGCACGATTATCGAGAGAAGTGGTACGAAGATAGGAGTGATCGGTGTCATCTTGTCTTCCACGAATGTACGTATCTAATTATCCCTGATTTATCAATTTTTCTTTCTACGAATGTGTTCGTGGACGTAATCGAGAGAGAAACATTAACGTTTCACAGCTGACAGAGCCTTATTTAGTTTTTTACGTATAAATAAGACAAGGAAACTCTAGAAATTCGTTATAATTGTCGATACGATTAAGCGAATTCCACAAAGTACAGAGATAATCGCGCATGTAGCGATGCTGACAGTTGAGCAAGAAACGATTACGGTAGACGGAGGTTTTAACCGGAAGAGTGACTCGACGTTTTCTCTCTCTCTCTCTCGTCCTGGTACCTTAATTGAAACTTACAAATTGCCAGACAATTGCCATTACCGGGAAGCTGAAGTTTCTGGACGAGGTGGAATCGGTGAATGACGAGGCAAGGAGATTGAAGTCCCAGGGTGTGGATATTATTATTGTTTTAAGCCACTGCGGCCTCGACGTGGACAGGATCATGGCAGCCGAGTGTCCTTTGATCGACGTGATTGTCGGAGGACACTCTCACACCTTTCTATATTCGGGTGTGTAATAAAATTCTTGTGAAAAGAAACGAGAAGGAACAAATAACTGGTTTCACGTTCTCAGGAAGTGTTAAAAGAAATTCGGTGGATTCTCAATATTTCTTTTCTCTATCTTCTCTAATTCCAAAGTGGTCGAGAAAATTTCTGAAATGCAGCTATGCAGTAAAAAAAAAGCCAAAAGGAATCTCAAGGAGTCTTAAAAAGGATCTACGGATTTTCTAAATATTTCTTTTCTCTATCTTTTCCAATTCCCAAGTGGTCCAAAAGATTTCTGAAATTCGGGTATACAGTAAAATTTTTAAGAAAACAAAACGGAAAGGAGTCTGAAGAAGTCTTAAAAAAAATTTGATGGATTCTAAATATTTCTTTTCCAATTCCTAAGTGGTCAAATTTAAAAAAAGAAAAACGAAAAGGAACGTCAGGAAGTCTTAAAAAAGGATCTATGGATTTTCTAAATATTTCTTCTCCAATTGCTAAGTGGCCCAGAAAATTTCTAAACACTCCAGAGAACCTCCAGACTTCTCCTCGAATCGTCTCAATTAAGTTTCACGTCACAAAATTCTCTTTTTCTGCAATCGAACGATTGTTCTTCAGGTCCACCCCCTTTCATCGACAACCCCGAGGACGAATATCCAGTGGTGGTGGTCCAAAAGAAGAGCAACAGAACGGTGTTGATCGTTCAAGCGGCGGCGTACACCAAGTTCGTAATTCCTTCTCGATAAAACTGCTCGTTTCAACTGTTTGTGTGTTCTTCTTCTCGAAGAGTGAGCAAATCTTTCCCTGTTTGCATCAGGTACTTGGGAAACTTGACGGTCTGGTTCGATAAGCAGGGCGAGGTGGTTGATTGGGACGGAAATCCGATTCTCCTCGATTACTCCATCGAGCAGGGTAAATTCACCGATAAACTGTAACACGAAAAAAGGGGGGAAACGAAATTTCTGAAAATTTTCGAAATTTCTTCTAGATCCTGACATAACGAAGGCCCTGGAACCGTGGAAAAAGGTCGTAGACGAGACAGCACAGACGAAAATAGGCCGGTCGAGGGTTTATCTCGACGATCAATGTCGTAAAAGCGAGTGCAATCTTGGAAATTTAATTACCGACGCTATGGTGGATTCTGTATGCATAAAATGTCATTTAATTGTCGAAGATACTCGAGAAGGGAACACGGAATGGTTTTTTTTAACGGTTCTAGTACGTAGACAAGGCAGAGAACAAGAGTTTCTGGACGTATGCCGCTGTTGCTTGCACGAATACTGGAGGAATTCGTGCTCCTATTGATTCTATGGGCGAAGACATCACGTTTGGTGATTTGATGATGGTTCTACCCTTCGAGAACACGTGGGACACTTTAGAAATAAACGGAAGCTGCATATTGCAGGTATTTTTGCCAAAATATATACACAATTTAGAGAAAAATTTCTTTGAAAAAATATCAATTTAATTCCAAAGAGAGATTCAATTAAATTACGAAGGAATTTCACAGTTTTTCTACGTTTCTGGCAGAGAGTGACTTTACCACTAACGTGTATTAAGCATTGCCACTCTTCAGGCTCCCATTGCCTCGCCTTTTTACCAACAGATCACACTTGGATCATGCAACCATTTGATCACACTTGGATCATGCAAACAATTTCCAAACAATATACAGTAGTGCACAGTTAAGCGTCCGTCGCTATCCCCACCAATTCTTGGAAATGGGACTTTGGAGTGGAGTTCGAGCGTGCCGAGTGAAACGAAGTAATTCGATATCGACTCCTGAATTGAAACATATCGGTATCCCACTCAGACACAAGCGTCCGTCGCTATCCCCACCAATTCTTGGAAATGGGACTTTGGAGTGGAGTTCGAGCGTGCCAAGTGAAACGAAGTAATTCGATATCGACTCCTGAATTGAAACATATCGGTATCCCATTCAGACACATTCTCCTCTCTTTCGTTTAGTTAAATTCGCAAAAGTCACCTCCCCACTTAATTCGGTCCCGACTGCGGACGCTTATGTGTGCACTACTGTACAATCGTCTGTACAGATAATCTCGTTGTTCCAGATCTTGGAAACGAATGGAATTTTAGTATGGTCGGGATTAAAGGTGACTTATAGGATAAACGGAGACTCGAGAAAAGTGGAAGATGTGAAAATAAGGTATCTCTACATTAACTCCGAAATTATCTCACATTTTCTGATCCACGGTGACTCTCTTTCAGGTGTCGTGCCTGCGAGGCGCCAAAGTTCGAGAATTTACAAGAGGATCAATGGTACAGGATCGTTCTTCCGAGTTTTCTCGTGAACTCAGGGGACGGATTCGTTTCGTTCGCGACTTGCAGCAGAAATCATCGAGTGGGAAACGTGGATTACGAAGAATTAACGAAATACGTGAAAAAGATCAGTCCGATACTAACAGGTCTCGATCGTCGAGCGATCTTTCTAAATACGACAGACACGTAGCCGAGAGGAACATTCCATTCAGACTGAAAGTATACACACGCGAAATTATATTCTTACCAACAGTATTCTCGTCTTTCCCTTTTAACTTAACACGAGAACCGTGCTCCGAGAACGTTTTAATAAATGCTCTACATATTTTATAATTTCATCCCGTTTGCTTAATTCCCTTCTCGGAATATCCGGCAAGGAGAACGACGAAAGCCTAATTATCCTCGGCTCCAATTTCGCGAGCATCTGTGCCTGTGTTCTCGGTGAAAAAAAGCTCCGGCGAGAAAAGCAAGCCTGCGAAAAATCTCGCGTGATATCGCCGTGAAAGCAGGAAACGGCGCTCGCTTATCTCGCGGTATCTTGACATCGCGGCAGGTGAAGCATTTAAATAATATATCGAACAGGTGAAATAGCAGCTGTTCGTCTGCATCGTTGCCCTCCGTCGCCGGGAGGACACGTGAACCGCTTTGTAGTGCCGCAGGAACGCGCTCCTTTTTTCGGGCCAAATTCGCTCCTCTTTCTCTGCGACACCATTTCGTCGTTCCGCACTTTCGGAAAACTAATTAACCAGTCCCAGCGACGAATATCACCCGGCAGTTTCATCTCTCCATAAAATTCCTCAGGTAGACACGACTAATCAAAGGTAAAAAAATCCAATTCTCTCTGAATCAACCTCGGATCTACCTCTCCCGCCGATCCCGCGAGCAATTTGAAATCCGCGGTTCCTTGGACGTCTCCAGCGTCGAACGCACCGCGTGGAAGAGGAGGCACTCGCGGTGTCGGGCATCGAGGGGCGCTCTAATCAGAAGAAGAAAGGAGAGGCCGTGCACCGGAGGACAGGAGAGACAGGCGGCGTGGCATCGCGATAGGGGAAACGCGGCAGGGAAATGCAGGGCTCGGGAGTGTGGAGAGGTGGTGGGAGGATCTGTCGTTAGGTAGAGCGAGAGGGTAGAGTAGGACGAATAAACGAGAAGACACGTTGATTCCAGCGAAAGGGGAACGCAGAGGGCGAAACAGATTGAAAGTGGCGGGGAGGTAGGGGAAGGTGGGAAGGTGGTGGGGAGTTTGGAGGAGAGGAGGAGGAGTGGAGGAAAGGCAGCTGCAAGCAGTCGGTGCAAGGGAGAGACTGTGAGTCGAGGGTAGAAGAAGAGAGGAGCAGTGTCATGGAGGCAGGTCTGGCTGCTGGCTGTCCGACGACCTGCTCCCAGCGTTACCTGCCCAAGCTCGCCAGTGTTTCCATAACCGCGTCCATCGATGGATCGAGCCGCGATCCTCTCGTGAGCCCTCTGAGCTCGCCACGCTCGGATCCCACCACGTCATCCTTCTTCGTGTCATAGCGAAACGTCTCTCCTCTCCGGACGTCGGATCTCACAGGAGGAGAAGAAGGAGGAGGCGGAGGAGGAGGAGGAGGATTAGTGCACTAAGGTACACGAAGAAGAAGAAGAAGAAGAAGAAGAAGAAGCTGCTGCTTGCTGTGCGTGTCTCGCGGGAGAGAATATTGTGAAACGGAGCAAGAGTAGTAGGAGGAATACAAGGGGGAAGGGGGGAGGGAGAAGTGACACGTTGCGATACGATCGATCCAACGGCGAACGTTACGTGCGTTTTCAGCGAGGTATACACACGCTTCGACACAATGTGCTCGTGACAGAGGAGAGCGGCTCGCTTGTACACTGGTTGCGCACATCCTTCATTCAGAGTTTCCACCAAACGGAAGTACACGAAGAAGAAGGAGGAAGAGTAATAGGAGTTACGGTACAGTGAGAGATACAGAGAGGAGAGTGAAGAGGAAACGGATAAAACGTGGGCGTTGAGTGATTGTTGTCGGTGCTAGTTTCCATTGGGAGTCATGAGAGATACCAGCGATATGATGGAGGACGCCTTGTCCGAGGTATGTAATAGCCGATAAATTTCCCATTCGTGTCTCTCCATCCTCCTCCACCTCCTTCTCTTCAATACTGAGATTGCTTCCTTGCTGGTACGATCGAACGAATTTTTGCGTTTGTCGAGAGAGAGAGAGAGAGAGATACGCGATGTTGTACACCGAGGAGCGTGTACAGGAGATCGCCTTGGGAAGAGATAGGAGGTGAAATGGTCCAAGATTACGGGACATTCGCGCGACGAGCGTGCGGACGTAACGGCACGATTTAGAAACACCTTGTGGCGGAGCGTGTAGCGGCCCGTTTATGGGGTCCCGGAAAGGAAACGCGTTCCAGCTCGGTCAGCACGCGTCAGAATTTCGTTTCCACTTTGCACGGTGTTTAGTTGGGACTCGTCCAGTCTTATTTGCGCTTCTTTTCTTTTTTCATTTTCTTAAATTTTATTAGACAACTTTAATCGGCGAAAAGGAATCTCAACGTAATTCTTTTACCTTTAATTTGATTACCGTAGCGCGGCAGAGTTGCATCGATCCTTCTTCCCTTGTCGTTTAATAATCATAAACGAAATACAGTCGATAATACTGGCAGTGAAGGAAAGAAGCAAAGGGGAAAATCCAGCGTTTCCTCTGACGGGAAAAATTACACCTGTTTGCATCACCTGTGATAAATTACAGTATCCGTGGGCATTGTCCCGTGGATCGTGTTATTTCGAATTCGATGCACTTTCGCGCAGCACCGGGTATTAAATTCTGCAGGTATACACGGTCGAGATCATGAATCCAGGACCATTATCGGTTATGTTCCTCGTGTCTTCTTCACCGTACCAACGTATGTAAATTTGCGTTCGTTTCCACAGGTTCCTTTATATGTGCATTTTATTGGACTCTTTCGCCTCTCGTCCTTTTCATCCCCCACGCCGTTCCCCTCCCTTCACCCGAGGGAATAGAATTTGCTCTCAATTTTCCCTCGGTTATTTCGCCGAAGATGGAACAAATTTTCTCCCACACACACGCACACGTAGATTGCCAGCGAGTGTACTTGTAAATGTTGTAAAAAGAGAGGCAGGGATCGATAAGGAGGTAGGAAAAAGAATTACGTTACCGGGGAGAAAAGTATGTGCCATTAATTTCGTTTAACTTCCCTCCTGCCGGCACGGGTAAAAAGAAAGTGGGTTCCAGAAGAAACGTTATTTAAAGCTCACGACCAATTAAAAAGTTCAACTTTACGGTTCTTTCTCCGCGAGAGCTTTCAGGCCGGCTGACAAGCTAGGCGATCAATTCAAAAAGTTTCAACCTCGCGGTAAACAGCTTTCCCTTTTCCCTCCGGGAGAAAAAGAGCTGTCCACCTGAGGGAGAAATCTCTCGAGCATTGATTGAAAAGCTTTTCAGCCGGTAACAATAAGGGAGTAACTTTTTCTTCCATTCCGCGCGTATCGCAATCGCGAACGTTTTCACGATCGTGTTTCTCTGTCAACGCTGTTTTTCTTTTGTTTATCGCTGCACGTAGGTACACGTAGTATCTCGTTTTATCGTGCATTCTGCACTCGCGTAATTTCGAAATCGCAACTCCGACGGAAATTACGAGATATCTATTACTTATTACAAAAGCAGAACGATTGTAGTTTATTCTTCGTATCTCTGGGCTAGAGAGAGAGAGAATGTTTGCCCGGGAGCAATTTGTCAATGTAGCCGCTTCCTGAGGACGCAAGAAAATAATTTGTTTCCTCCGCTGTTTCGCTCCAGTCATTATTCACGGGCCCCACTCCGCCACGCCGGTGTGCAAACAGAAAATGAAGACGCTTTAAAAGTCCATTAAATAAGAAGTAACCCGCGTAATCAGCCTGTGATCAACGCTCTAGCCAACCAAGGTGCACTTAGGAGAGTAGCTTTAGCCTCTCCGCGCGAAAAGTCGAACGTCTCCTTTCTTCTCTCGCATCGGTCGATTATTTGCAAGATTTACCTTTTTGCAGGAAGTAGCCGTGAAATCGCTATTCGGCAATTAACGAGAGGAAAGAAATTTTGGAATTTTTCCCGTGTGTTTTTTCTTCTTGGGGAAGAAATTACGCTCGTTCCATAAACTGAGCATTGCCGTTTAGCGAGTAACGTTAGAGCATTGATCGCGTCCCGCTGGTAGGAAATGTCGGTTCACGTATATCGGTGCTTGCTTGCCGCTAATTAAAACGTTAATGGTACTCGGCGCATACCAATTAAAGTCGATGCGTTCACCACGACTGTATTAACAATAATTTCGTGTGTTTAATAATCGTCTCCCCCCGCGCACGGCTCGTTCTCTCCTTCACACACACACACCGAGAGACAGAGAGAACTACCGGATTTCACGCGTGTGTTGGTGAATTCACTTGGTCTACAACGTTACCGAAATGTTCAACTTCTCCGCGTAGAGAAACTTGCTCTCTATTGCGATTCGTACCGGTGGAGCTCGTTACTTGCGGCGAAATTTTAATTAACGTCGATGGAAATCGTATGGAGCTGTTGAAACTGCGAAATGATTCACTCGTTCACTTGAATGCTCTCCCTGCTCACAATTTTTTCCTCTCTCTCTCTCTCTCTCTCTCTTATTATAACGATCGTGAATGGAACAGCGTGTGCTCGGCGAGGTTTCAAGTATAAAATTGAGAATTCAATTCTACAACGACGAGGATTATTTTTATACGCGATAAAAACGGATCGTTCCGTTTATTCGTCGATAAAGATCGAACGAAGAACAGTTCAGTGTACGTATTCGGTGAATCTTCAAGTACAACATTTGTTCTCCCTCTGTGATAACGATCGTTCGTCGATAAAGTTTCCACCCGTGATACTTGTCGCATAAACGAATCCTTCGTCTGTTATTTCTGTCTACGGTAGAACTAACGTCAGCAATTATTACCGAAGAAACACAGAACGTCCCCGTCTACGTAACGACGTAGGAAATTATGCAAGCGTTCGCCTCGAATGACAAAGTTCGAAAACGCTGCTACATTGGCTCAATTAGCAATTCAATTAGCTACTCTCTGTGTAGACGCACACTCACCATGATTCGATCGATCCATGGAAAAACGAGTTTCTGCAACGAAACAATATTAACCGAGCTTACCTACTCTACACAACAGAGAAAGAGAGAGGAGACACTTCTCCGTGGAATTAACAGCAGGATTATCCTATTCCGCTTAATGCTCGTTCCGCTCGAAACAATCGCGTCTCTGGTTAAATTACTCGCGGACACAATCGCGCGGAAATTTAAATCCCACCAGGCGAAACATCGTCGCCGTCGCCAATCCTCCCTCCTCCACCGTGTCGTTGTCGTTCTTTTCTTTCTCACGATCCTTTTCGGATTACCTCGAGCAACATCCAGATACCAGGGTCGCGCTAATTAAAACCTCGTTTCGCCCTGGAAACATTTCTCGTTTCCAATCTCTTCCCTCTTTTTCCACCGTTCTCGAACAAGAGTGAAATAGTCGTCGTATATTTTCCTTTCAACGTCGAGGTCCAGGCTCGTCGCCCGACGCAATTTCCCAGCCCGGGGAACTTTTCATCCGCAATTTTTCCGTATCAAGCCGCGAGGCGAGCGTCAAAGGGGGGGAAAAAAACATTTTCTTCCGCGGCTTCCCAACGCTCCAAAGGGCCTCGCTTCTATTTTTTCTTCTCCTTTCCGACGGCGGATGAGCGAAGAGAGGCGCGGGGAAGCGGGAGTGGTGCAGAGCGTTGCAATTACATAATTCACCGCCGCATCAGGATCTTGATAAAATACAAAGTGCGATTACACGCTGGCTGCCGCATAAGTTCTCCCCCCCCGTTGGATATTACTTTCCACCAACGCGTTATTCTCTCTCTCCTCTCTTTGAACCGTTGCCTTCCGGCCACATCTCTCTCTCTCTAGCTTTCTCTGTGTAGATGTATACACAGGCACGGCTAGATTGCGGTTTTCCACGTAGTTGAAACTTTAATCGGAGTCACAATGCCTGGCTCCGTCGGAGGTGGATCGATTCGAATTTTCCCTGCGAATTGCATTGTTCCTCTTACTGTTGCTGCTCCCTTTGCCGGTATCGCCGGGGAAATTGTCCAAAATCTGGCTGTCTACGCCGATAACGTTCATTTAGAAATTATAGGATTACTTTAAATTTAACCCTTCTTCTTTTAAACAGATGCGAAACGTGGCTGTCTTTTGTTTGGATTGTAGGATTCTTACGAATTTGACCCTTTCCTTTGTAGATTCTCTAACCCTTCGACGTGGACGAAAGCAGCGAAATCTGGCGTTTTCAGGGAGGAAGAGTGCCCTCTTCGTGGCAGGAAAACGTGGAATACTTTTAACTTGAATCTCTGAACGACAGAGATCGAAGGAAATCTAACGAACTGTGATTTCGAAGATCTGACAGAAATGGAATACACGATCTCACGATTTAATACCATCGAGGAGAGACTTCCTTTCAAATTCGATATGAACGACAGCTTATCTCGAGTCAGACTCGGACAGTGCGTCAAGTAACGAACAGTTTAACTCAAGAGAGACTCTTAGGAAGAAAGTTGAAAGGTGAAATCTAAATTTTCTTCGCCGTAATTCACAAGTTTATCAGACCGTCAAAGGGTTACGAAAGCTGTCCCGATCTCACGTTTCATCTGGACAGGTCGAACCTTCACCTCGACAATTTCAGTAATTTAACGAACGAGAAGGAGATCGCGGGGAGAGCATTCGAAAATGAAATTGCAAACGGTGCAGGTGCGGTAGAAACGTTTGCTCGATCGATACCCACGGGAATTCCTTCCGGTCCTGCAGGAATAGTCCTGGAATTGCAACGTTGCAACCGATTGCACGAATCAGTTGGAGTTTGTTGCAGCTTGTAAAAGTTCCGATAACTTCGGCCCTCTCGATATTCTCTCTCTCTCCCTCTCTTCGAGTCCTTATCAGTTTCCACGAAGATACGCATTCCGTCGACGAGGAATCTAAATTTCAAATGGAACCTTATTTCGCGACCGAAAACTTCTTTTCCCTCCACCGGTTCTTCTTTTCCTCT